GTGCTACTGAAAGTTCAGTATTCCAAAGCTTTAAAGTCACATTTACACTCATTACTAATCATACTTAGTTAAAACAAACATAAATACCTTGACCAGAGCAGCTTTGGCTCAGTGTTCCTCAGTAGCTCTCAAAAGCCACCACCGCTCACCATGTCCTTCTCTGTAACTTTGCACAGCCATGTGATTTCCTCACTTACTCTCGGAGAACATGGAGGAAACAGTTGTCTGTCTTATCTCTTTACTTTTAATGTGGTACACTTGTAGTTGTGCTACTGTCCTCTCTATAAGTGGTCACTACTGACCACTTTAGCAGTATGCTTCATTTTTTAGTAGGCCAGTCTGGTGGAAAAATGTCCTCATGCATATGATTCAAAAATGTTCTTCAACTTGAATAATAAATAGGAAATAGGAATGCTTGTTTATTGGAATTGAAATAAAATAAAATTTTATTTTCACAGAATTAGTCAAATAATTGCTCATTTAATTGCTCATTTATGGGCTCGTGGTTAGTCGGTTATTCATTTATACTGCTATCTTAAATCCATAAAAAAGTTTTCTTTCAGAAAAAATGTTTCCCGTCTGATTAAAATTTACTATTAGAGATGGCACGATACCACTGTCCAATACCGATACTGATCGGCTGATAATGATACTGATCTGATATTTCTTCTTTAAAAACGACTTGGCTTTATTAAGCTTATGCTATCATGCTCAAACACTCTACTAACCCACAGGAAGAAATATACAGCTACCAACATGACATTTTAGGCTGAATTTATTAAAGGAATGAATCTGATTCATTCTTTTTTTCCCCCCTGATATCCCATCCAGCATTTTCTGCTGATATCTTATACATAGTATCAGATCACTGTCACCACTAGTTACAATGCTGTAAGGCTCCCTTGTAATTTTAAGAGAAGAAAAGAGAACAAAAGAGTGAGCTGAAAAAAGATGGTTCTTCAAGGGTTCTTTAGTTAAGATTTAGTAAAGGTTTTATATAGAAACATGAACACTCAAAGAACCCTTTGCAGGATTAAAGCGTTCTTTGCATAGTGAAACGCTTCTTCACATTGATGGAAAATCTGCTGTAGATGGTTCTATATAGAACCTTTTTGAAAAGGTTTCTATATGGCACCAAACAGGGCTCTTCTATTGTAACAAGCTTGACAAGTTTAATAATAGAAGAACCCTTTTTGGAGCTATACAGAACCCTTTTCAAAAGGTTTCACAGTTCATTCTCCATCAGTCTGAAGAACCCTTTTGCGATGGGTTCTTTGACTGTTCATGGTTCTATTTAGAACAATTTTCTTTACTAAAGAACCCTTGAAGAACCATCTTTTTTTAAGTGTATATCAGGTCAGTAAGACTTTTTTATCACAGCACTGCCCAAACTCTGATTCAATAACTTCATTAATGCTATATTGAATATCACCTGATAGTGTGATATGTTCAGAAAATATTGTGATATTTTATTTGACCAATCCCAGCGAGCTCTTCACAGGGGTCGGTAGTTTTTGTTTGCTTCAATAACGGCCCAAAGCCACCACTGCGATCCATTTACTATTCACTTCACCGGTGCAAGTGGTAGCGTGCATTTTCCTCCTGTTTACGATCCCCAAGCCTTCTGACAAGAAACCCAATTACCCGCCGTGATTTACTCACGTCAAGAAAAACAGAAAACAGGAGTGGGAGCTTCAGCTTGGGCAAAATGTCATCTTAACGTGAAAGAGTGTCACCTCCAATCCTCTACATTCATGTGCCACACACACACACACACACACACACACTTGGCTCCTACTGCTCACCCAGACATGCGGCGGAGGTAGGCTTCTCACTCCAGCCTTGTGAATAAAACATAGCGAAGTGGGGTTGCTTTATGTGCTGTCTGTTGAATTAGGGGCTCAGAGGAAAGTGGAGACCCTGGATTTTGAGAAGTGCTTTTCTCTGACAGAAGAAACTATAAATGTTTAACTATGAATCTGGTATAGTGCTGTATATCATGGACTATAAATCTTTAAGATATACAGTAGTCGCATTGCGTGGCAGTGTGGATGTAAAGGTGCATGTGAAAATGCTGACATCACTCTGCATTAGACTGTTGTCAAACAACACTTCCTCCTTAACAGCAGACGTCTCTCGAGCATCGATTATTTAGGGTTTTTGTGGTTAGATAATGTGCAGATTATCCCTTTTGGTTGTTAGATAATGTGTATGAAGTGCAGAGTGGCATAAAGATAACTAGAACTGAGCTGTTGCCTTTTATCCAAAGATCCTAATGAAATGCAACCCAAAAAGTCCCATCAATCTACAACATTTACTGCATGTTCACAGAGAACTCCCCCCTACTCAGATCCCCATTTCAGCTAACGGCGTGAGCACAGCTGAGCAGAACGGTTAGGGAAAGCTCTCAGAACCGAAGCATTTGCAAGCAGGAACTAATTCAATTAGTGTGTGAACCTTGGAGGAGCAAAGGCTTTAAACAGGAGAGAAAAACAGAAATATACACAGAGTATGTGTTGTGCTTTGTCACCCTGACGTTCTCTTCAAAGTGCACTAATCTGTAAGCGTACCGAAGAGATCGCACTTCTACAGTATATGTACTTACAACTGGAGTGTTTCTTGCCTGTTATATATGTGAACACATGCAAAAACAATACACAATCTCATTACTAGTCCAAAGGCCTGGGACATCTGACTGTTTGCCTACATGTGCCGTTAACCACATTTCAGCAATAATAACAACAACTGAAATTTACAAAGGGAGACCAGCCACATTGTGAGAGCTCCTGGTCCATAAGCTGTGCATGGATTAAAGCAGGTCTCTCCTTTAAACAGATGGCTGTACAGGGGGAAAAAAAGGAAAAAAAAGACCTTGTTTCCCACCTGCCCATGTTGACTCGTTGCCACAGTCAGATTAATGTATGCATACTGTCATACAGGGGGGGCTCTTTGCAAAGCTGCTCCTGTAGCAATACCGACAGCTTCATCTAACATCGCCCTGGAGTGCTACGGCTTCTGCTCTCAAGGTTACAAATTAATCAAAACATCAATACACGGCGCCAAAGCAGGCGAAGGTACATTGTACTCACACCTGGAGGAGCTCTCATTCACTTCCTTCTGCATAATGCAACTGGACCAAACACTAGGGACTTCACCAAGGAATCTGCTCCTGTTTTGAAACAGGTTATGTGCTATTTCCTGCAGGTGAATGCAGCATGTCTTTGTGATCATCAGCCATTTAAGCAGGTGTTCAGTTTATCTCTGTTCAGCTTCAGTAGCATGCCTCGATACACTTGATGTCATCTCTAACAAGACAACGTGATAATAGATGGGACAAGGTCTGAATTAAAACCCTGATTATTTACCACCACAAGCAGTACTAACTTGCCATGCCCAATGGCAGGTGTCACAGCCTAGACAACCACAGTGGTTATTACTGAGACCGATGATGTGAAATAATTGCCTCTCAGATCATTCAGCTGCCTTTGATGACTATATGTACCAAGATAAACAATTCTGCTACTCACTAGACCAGAACCGCTTGCAATTATTAACTGAACTGGGATGGCATTTGACTCAGAACTCAGGGTGTCACATACTGACGCGCAACACAAACAGATAAGTCAGGCAGAATGAATCGTACACATTTTGGTAAATAATCTACATTATACTGGAGTGGCATGAATAGATTTCTTTTTAAAGGGGGCTTTATTGGTGTGTAAGAGAGCCAGCTATGAAGCATTATGCCTCAAAGACATCGCTATAGTGAGGTCGACACTAAACAAACTTAAACGCAGCAAATTTTCTGAGCACAGTCTCTATTTATTGGCTGACGTTAACATATTTAGGGAAAAAAAAGATAACATTTAAAATGTGCCATAACTTTTGCACTGGCCACATTTTTTCCAACATGTTAAATTCAGCAAATAAGCAGTAACTGTTTATTTGTTCATTCAAATGGGCAAAGGGGTTTCTTTGCTTATTAAAATGTGCAAAAGTGGGTTCTTTGTATAGGATGTTTTATTTAACTTACTTTGACTTATTATTTGTCAACTTATTTTCACTTAGAAATTCAACAAAATTAAATTTGACCAGGGGTGCCAAAACTTTTACGACTATATAGTAGCCTGTGCTAGGAGCAGGGCAAAGCTGTGGCAGAGTTATTACCAATGGTGGCATGTAGCCGTTTAAGTGTTGCCTTGGTGACAGCAGCTGTCAGATATTAGTGAAAGGAGAGCTTTTTCAGTTTCATTTGGTAAAAGGCACAAAGATGCAAGAATTCAGGGTCTTTGGGTTTATTCTGTATTGTAACAGCGCAAGTTGGATTACATTGTTTCACTGGAAATGGTGACTATTCCATTGTTATTGTGATAAATTCCATATGTGCTTATCTGAGCATATCATTGATGTCATCAGTACATAAAGGATGCTCATCAAATGTTTTTCACTACGAAGACAGCATAATTGGTCCTATTTAACTCGAAACAGTGTGGTGTACCATGCATTGAATGTTGAATATATTTTCAAGTATGATGTTATATTTTTGTGGTATCACCCACCTCTACACTGAAGGACTTTTTCTTCCCTTTGTACAGCCAGAAATCTGGTGGGGCCTAGCTTTCAAGTGAGGAGGCCAAGCAGCCCTTAGCTATAGCCCTTATATACTACATTCACATGAATCAAAGAACTAGGTATACTGAGTATAGAAATATTAGTATTTCCCCCATATATAATTCCCATTTTAGCTGAGCTTCAGACAACAATAATTATCTTAGCTATTTTAATATGATGCAAGAAAGGTCAGTGGCGAGATGATATATGAGAGTACACAAGGTCAAAGCAGTCATGATTCATATTTTGACTGGAAGGGGGAAAAAAAGCAATAAAAATCTCACTAAGCCTCAATATGTTTCAATATTCTTAAATGCCAATACCGCTCAGTCTCCCCCATAATGTGACATTGTATTCATTACATTTCTCCTGTCTCCTATTTTCTGCAGATGGAAATTGATGTGTGTGACTGATTGAGGATAATAACGATGGCAGACACAGTGATACATCCCCTGCAGAAACCTGAGCTCCCCGTCACTCCCCAAAGGATACACTGACCTTCACATATGCAGCCAGCTTGACAACCTCACACCAGGTAAACTGAAAGGTTGCTCCTCGCTGCCAAGGACAACACGGAAAGAAATCAGTACATTGGGGACCTGGCAGAAGCAGAAAAACAAACCTGTTGACGCACTAACAAATGTTACTGTATTTGTGAAGTTAGTGCTAACTCCACACTCCGTAAGGACTAATTACTCGCTGAGGAGAAGGAGGCCAAGATGAAAGAGCCGCTCTTTGTGGTTTGTCTGTTAGCAGGACTGGCATTGAATGGCTCTGTTCATTCGTCTGAGCGGACTGTGGCATGCCCCAAGCTGTGCAAGTGTGGAATCCGACCCTGGTTCTCTCCGTCATCCCTTTACATGGAGGCTCCAACCGTGGACTGCAATGATCTGGGACTTCTTTCTCTTTCCAGAAACATTACCTTCGGACACCCAGGTGCTACTGTTACAGAGCAACAGCATTGCCAAGATTGACAAACCTCTGAATTACTTGGTTAACTTAACCGAAGTTGACCTCTCTCAAAACAACATAACTACTCTTAGTGACATCTATGTAGGTCACCTTCCTCAGCTCGTGTCCTTGCATTTGGAGGAAAACTGGATAAGCAACCTCCATGATAACTGTTTTGCACACCTGCCAAACCTTCAGGAGCTCTATGTCAATCATAACCTACTCTCCTTGATCAGTCCTGGGGCTTTTCATGGCCTCAGCAACCTCCTGAGGCTCCATCTCAACTCAAACCAACTAAAGGAGATCAGGCAAGAGTGGTTTCACGCACTTAGCCAACTAGAGATTTTGATGATAGGGGAAAATCCAATTGCCCAAATACAAGATATGAATTTCCAGCCTCTTAGCAATCTCCGCAGTCTTGTACTAGCCAGAATGAACCTTACTGAAATTCCGGACAATGCTCTGGTTGGTCTAAATAAATTGGAGAGCATCTCATTCTATGACAACAAGTTTGCAATAGTGCCCCAAGTTGCCCTTAGAAAGGTCCAAAGCCTCAAGTTTTTGGACCTCAATAAGAATCCCATTGAGAGAATCCGTCGAGGTGATTTTGTGGACATGATTCACATGAAAGAGTTAGGCATCAACAGCATGCCAGAGTTAGTTTCGATAGATGGCTTTGCGGTCACCAACCTGCCCGAGCTAACAAAGATTGAAGCGACCAACAATCCCAGGCTGTCCTACATCCATCCCAATGCTTTCTATAAGCTGCCCAGGCTTGAGACACTGATGCTGAACAGTAATGCCCTCAGTGCACTTCATCATGTTACAGTGGAGTCCTTGCCCAGCCTCCGGGAAGTAAGCTTGCACTCAAATCCAATCTACTGTGACTGTGTTGTCCGCTGGATCAATATGAACAAGACCAAGATCCGCTTCATGGAGCCCGAGGCCCTGTTATGCACGGGGCCTCCGGAATTTGAAGGTCACCATGTCAGACACGTGCACTTCCGTGAAATGATGGACACCTGCCTCCCAGTTATCTCTCCAGAAAGCCTTCCAGAACACATCAGCGTGACCAGTGGACGCTCAGTGTCCTTCCACTGCAGGGCGTTTGCAGAACCCGAACCGGAGATCTACTGGGTGACCCCTTCAGGAGAAAAGATCCTACCAAGAATGGCTTCAAGCAAGTATTTCATGCATCCTGAGGGAACCTTTGACATATACGACATTTCGGAGAAAGAGGCAGGCCAGTACACCTGCGTGGCGCACAATCTCATAGGGGCAGACATGAGATCTGTTTCAGTGGCCGTGAACGGGTACTATCCAGAACCTTCAAATACTTCTTTACATGTACAAATCGATGTGATACGACCACATTCTCTAAAGATCTCTTGGGTACCCCCTAAAAGCAGCTTTGTGTCAAATATCATGTGGTCCACTTCCTCTGTCTCAAACCGCCATTCCTTACGATTCACAGCACGTGTGCCATCAGATGTAAAAGTGTTCAATCTCACACACTTGCACCCGCTGACACAGTATGAGGTATGTGTAGAAATTACAGACTTGCAAAAAGGCCATTTAAAGAACTGTATAAATGTCAGTACAACAGAGCAAGCTGTTTCAGGGTGTAAATCGGACAAGAGTGGAGCGGTAATGGTCAATGCCATTGGTCTGCTTTTGATTGTATCTGCTGTAACCTGTTCGCTTATCTACATGTCTGTGAAGAGTGATCATATGTACAGAAAGTTAAGTGATCAACCACCAATAGAAACACCACATGGTCCTAACTCCTGCCCCTCTCCCAGTCTCACACAGCTGTGCAGGTCTGAAGTGAACGCCACAGCAATAGACTTAAACACCACCAACTAAGGGACGCATCTAGGTAAATAAAATGGGATACAATGGACACAAAACTGTATGCCTGACTATCCCACTGTTTTGCCTTTGAGTGAAACTGCTGGATCCCTACAGAATGCCGAATCTGGGAGGCATTCAGGGGTTGTAGTCCCGGAACATTTTGTGACATTGACATTGTCTCCACTCAACGCCTCCTTTAGTGTAAATGTCACACAAAGGCATCAATATGGTCCAGAATGGGCTGCCTGAAGAGAGCTGTTCCTTCAAGCAGGATCAAGGCACGGAACATCAAAGGTCGTGGTTCGGATGCCTGACTGATCACATTTAACGCAAAGCCATAGTGGCTTTTGTTTCTATTGTGGGCTTGTAGCAATACTCTCTGTTTGGTTTCAGTGGGAAAGTAAACTAAGTAATCTTTATGATGGACTATGTTTATAGAGTAGATCACAACACTATACAGAACATGATGTATGACACTTTGTGACAAAATACATTTATAATGAAAACTACAACTTTGTGTTCTTATTATGAGCCTCACACAACAAGCATGAACATGTAAACATAGGTGAGATATTTGAATGGAAAAATCAGTGGCTTTCTGAGTCATTCAGGCCTCTTTCATTACAGTGGTGGTGATAATGACCAGGGGTCCAAAACTACCAGCACACCTATCTATGTAATGATGGTAACTAACAAGTTCTGATGAAAAAATATGTTTTCTTTTGGGTACTGTTTTGCCTTACAATGCCATACATGCACCTCTCTGAAGATCTCAGGAAGATCGTTAAAAAAACAAAACAAAACCCTGAATGTCAGGCCAAAATCTTATCATCGTCTCACTTTCATTTATATAGCGCCTTTCCCATGCTCAAGAATGCTTTCCAATCAGAAAGTATTTACATAGTATACATAACACAGAACACATACACACACACATTCCACGGTTCCCACAGTTAGCAGGGAAGACTTTACTGACCATGGTATAAAGTCATTTAGGAGGCCCGGGAGGAGTCTTTAGCCGTGGGGAAAGTCTCACACCGCAACCACGGTGCCTCACACAGGAGGCCGGCCCAGGGAGCCTCGAAGGCCGAAAATTGGCCATGAAGGGGAAGCATTTTCCTGCAGCCGAACACCGTCAGTCCAGGCAGCCTCATAGCAGCGTCACCCAAGTGGCCGGCCCAGACGGCAACATTGCTGTCATTGATGTAGCGTCACTTAGGCAGCCAGACTGAGAGGCCTCGTATATGTGGCATAGTGCTGCTCATGCAGCTGAAAACCACTGGTCCAGGTAGCCCCACTACTGCAGTGCAGCGTCAACCAAGCAGCACCAAACCCAGGCTGTGATATCACATCGATCAGGTCCCCAGTCCAGAAAGACTCGTAGCCGTGAAACAGCGTCTCTCAAGCAGACAATCCAGGCTGCATCATAGCTTTGGCATAGTTATGTAAAGTGACAGCTATATTGCGCAAGTGTTCTTACAGCACAGCATGCACACATGTGTGTAAAAGCTGCCATTATTAATGTCTGAGGCATCAGGCAGCATATTCATAACTATTTCTTGTTAGAACTGTCTGTGAGAAGCTTTTAGAGCCATTAAATTCTTCAGACATCTGGTTCTTACACCAGCACCGTGACTACAAGTTTCTCAAAAATTGTGAATTTTTCATTAAACCACTCTGAATGACTTTGTTTGTATCTTAACAGTTTAATTATGCAAAAAGTTACATGTTATCATGATGATAAAGTGACTCTGTTTAGCATTTGTTGCGGTACACATTAGTTAGTTTTTGACATGACTTATGCATTGGTGCAACCAAATTTAGTAAAAGGATAGTTTGAAACTAATAAGTGTTAAATAAGGACTCATAAGACTTTCTGCACAAACTTCAGAACAAACTTATGCACTCTGGAACAACCAAGTACTGGCCCCTTTTAAAACACAGATTCAGTAGCCTGCCAGAAATTCCATGCTTGCCTGAAAAACTCATCACAGATATTTGCCCACCACCATTTTAACACCACATGGGATAAACAGCTTTTAGTGTACAACACAATTACAGTGGGTGCCCTTGAAGGCGGTGGTTTTAACACTGCTCCCATTGTTGTGGCGTTATTCACAGTGGCATGCCTGGCTGATGATTGGGGATGTACAATAGTGGAGGAGGTAGGAGGGAGTTGCAAGGGGGGGGAGGGAGAATCACAAAACTGATTGACTTTGAATTGCATTATATTCTTTTTCATTAAAAATCCAATATGAATTCCCAAACGCTAAACTCCCACAGGTGATGAATCGCCGTCACAATGCGAATGATGCGGGGGATTTATCAGGCCGACGTAGCTATATATCATCGGAGGGGTTTCAGCACCACGGACAGGGCTTTTAGAGCTCAGCCATTTGTCACAGACACGGGAGCTAAAATATGAGTCATTAGAGCAGCAGGTAGTGGATAGGTCAGCAGGAACACGCTGAAACTGGACTCGCCTTCCAACCGTGACCCTGCTGAGGTGGGTCACCCATTACGGGCACAGCTCAGCGGCTCCAGCTCTCATCTGTCAGAGATCACATTGAGCATGGGCAGGGCAGGGGAACGAGTCAAAAAGGCAGTGTGGCGCAGGAAACATTTCCAGTTCAGGCTCTTTCCTTGGTAAGTGGTGCTGGCTTGTGGTGTTTCTACCCACATTGAACTACTGAGTGTTGCCTTAAACGACTCCTGATACCATTCCATAACATCATCAAGCACACAACTAAAGCTGACCTGAATCAGAGGGAAAAAAACGTCTGGTGTGAATAAAAATGTTGGTATCTTACTGTGTGCATATCAAACTTAAAGGACCTACAGAATTAAAACCCACCTTTCTTTGCTTTTTTGCAAGCATACCATTCACTCTCCACTCGACCCAGTCAATTTTCATATACGTAAACTAAGCTGCAAAAACGGCCCATTTTGAATTGACAGTTTTTGTGACGTCACAACACATTCAAATACATCCACCTCTACAGGTTATAGCAGTTTAGCCCTGCTTACTAATGTTGAAGTGATATGACATGTTTTAGCCTGGACTACGTTTTGAAATCAGTCACCATACAGGGCAGCCAATTAGAACAGAGGTCATTTACATAGATCATTTTTAAAGGGCCCAAAGCCTGCATGTTTAGTGTATTTGTTTAACTTAAGCAGTTATGTGGGTTTATGCATCAAAAACAGACATAATTAATTTTACATGCATATTTTCCAACGTCTCTTTATCCCTTACCATTAAACAGGCTGCTTTAGCTACTACACCTTAAAGACTAATACATAATTGAGCTCTGTTCTGAATGGTTGCCCTGTATAATGCCTCAGACAAAAAGAAATCCAGGCTGAAACACTCCTTATAACTTCAGTGTGAATGGGTAGGGCTAAACTGCTGTAGACTGAGTAGATGTATGTTTGTAAATACACTGTTTTTGAGACATCAGAAAACAATAATTCAAAATGTGCTGTTTTTGCAACTTAATTGCTGTATACAGGCAGTATGGACTGGGGAGTCAACAGCATGATTTTAAGCTTCAACAATGTGTACAACCTACACCAAACTCTTATTTTATGTAAAAAGCAAGGAAAATGATATGCACCCTTTAAAGGTACAGAAACAAAAACAGCCCATATATTTCTAAGGGATAAAATGGTCATGCAAAAATGATTTTTGGTACATATACACACAAACACAACCTAAGTGGGCCTCAAGAGGAAAATAACTAAATACAAGAAAATGTAGGATATGGGCCCTTTAAATCATTTGCATTGCTTTAGCTTTAGCACATGCCTTAATAAAATCTGTCAGAAATCTGCTACTCAGCAGTTCATCATACCATAAGCATAAACAAAAATACCATAAGGCTATGCGGTCTGGGGAATAAACCACAGCTCCCTAACAGACTGAAAAAATCTGCAGTCTATGAGCGAGCACACTCTTGAAGAACGAGGCAGACTGGCGAACACTGGCCTCATCTACAGACTATTAATCTACTTACTATTAATTTCATAACCACATGTTCTAGTCATTAATATGCCGCACTGTGAGTACATGAAGATATACTAGCATTTAAATCATCAGAACCACTTAGGAGCTGGAAATATGTAAATAGAGAAGCTCTTTGATGGTATTAGAACCATTCATTCTGATTTTTTCTTACTTAAGGTGATACAAGGTTGGTCAAATATGGAGTTTTACGCTTAAGTGCATAAATGGATTACAATAATAACACAGTATTTGAGGCAGCCAATGTAGCTACATAGATGAATCACAAAAAAGAAATAAATAATAAGTAAAAATTACGATTTTTGAGGAAGGGTGCAGTACAGTACTGTGCAAAAATGTATTCCATTTCCAGGCAAAACAACCATTAAGTACAAGTTATTCATTTTCAGGAGAGATTTCTGAGGAGATCAGATATAAGATCATCCATCTGTATGAAGAGAAAGTCAAAAGAAAATACATGGATAAACAGGACTTCCCAAAACTAGAGTTCAAGAAAATGGGACTCCTAACAACCATGCAAGACCTGGTTGACCAACAAAACTGTCCCCATCAGATAAACAGCTTTTGTCTTTGAGAGAGAGGAGAAAATCAAGCTGCTTCAGATCTGAAAAATCCACAGGTGTTTCTGTCCATCCTTCCACTGTGAGAAGACAACTCAGTGCTATGAGTCTGAAAGGATGTGTAGCCGTCAAGAAGAAGGAAACAGACAAAAAGAAGCAAATCAAACAAAGAAACTGCTGGTGTTCTCAGAGTGTGTTTGGGATTACTTGGATGGTGAGAAGCAGAAAATTCAACCAACTTCTAAGACTGAACTTTGGAGGTGTGTAAAAATATCCCTCTTTATTTCTTTGAACAACTGAAACCAAGTCTCCTAAAAAAGCTGTAATAACAGCAAAGAGTGGACATACCAAATACTGAAAAATGCATATATTTAATTATTGAAGTGTGTAACTTTCTGTTAAATGGGTTTTCTGTTGTTTTTCCTGATGCTGAAAAATAACTTGTACTTAATGGCTGTTTTCACTGTAAATTAAACAAATGAAGGGTCTCTGCTTTTTCACAGTACTGTATATGATTTAAAACATTAGTGTGGACACCTCTCATATATCCAAAACAATCATACTGTGATATACAGCATTTCTTAGTATTGCAGTAGTGACAAGACTTTATTATGGGCCCAAATTGACTGGTACCCAGAGCTGAAAGCCAAGACCAAGGGAGGGGACACTTATGACATTTATGTAGTTTTATACACCAAAAAACAGTCATAATGCATTTTTAACAGGATCATTTCCATCCTCTCTTCATCCCTTAGAATGACTGTTTTTGTTACTATGCCTTTAAGACTAATACATGCAAATAAGCTCTAATTTGATTGCCTGTATTGCACCTCATTCAAGACACAGTCCAGGCTGAAGCACTCCTTATAACTTCTGTGTGAATGGGCGGGGCTAAGCGACTGTAGGCTGAATAGGTGGATTTGTG